AGCTATTTTCATTTTAGTCTTAGTCCCCTGTTAAAATGTCCTTGTTAGTCTTTATCATATTTAGTCAACCTTATCCTATTTAGTCTCAACATTTTAGTCTAGTTTTAGTCCAAGAAAACCTGAAGTATTTTAGTCTAGTTTTAGCCAATGAAAACTTGACATTTTAGCAATAAGATTATTAATTAACCGTACAGTATTAATTTAAATTAATTTTTTATTTAGTCTTAGTCTTACTCAAATGTAAATTTTAGTTATCATATTTAGACAACCTTGTCCTGTTTTGTTTAGTCAAGTTTAAGTCAATGAAATGTATAAGCGTTTTAGTCAATGAAATCTTAGTCACATTTTCGTCATTCTGTATAATGGTTAAACTGATAAAAAATATTTTTTCTCAAAATTATAATCGTAATATTTGTTGTCATTTGATAAATTTACTTTTGCATTTCAGGTATTGCACTTTCTCCAGTAAGCACAAATCAATAGAATGTGGACACATGGTGTATTTGAGCTCATCTAGTGTATTGATTTATTATAGGCTTTTTATTATATCATTTAATACCAAAGACTTATGCAATCTCTGTGTCTACATTATGAAAACAGCTAAAAGAAACGAAAAATATTATAACAGTGAAATTCCTAGTAATTCCAAATTTTCATAGCCTATTTCTCTATTAAAACAACAGCGATTGGGTAAGTGCATTTATTCAGCGATCACAATCGCAAACAATACAGTCGAGATCTCATGACAGACCGGCTCAGTGATGCTTTTATTTAGATCGCTAAACTCCAGCTTGTTTGTCGGTGTTTTCAGATCATCGGCGGCGGTGCTTCTGCAATGAGGAGCGAGCGCGTGCGAATGGTTACCAGATTGCTTAAAATAAGCAAAACACCGGGCAGAAAATGTATGCTTGTAACAGCGAAACTCTGATTCGGGGATTTTAACTCTTGATATCTGGCAACCGCACTCATGAAAGCTCGCCTAGTAGAGGCGTGTAGAGCAGTCCGCAATAACATTTTGTCTCCTTTTTTTGACGAAAATAAAAAGAGTTTTTTGGTAAAGTTTTTATCTTTTTGAATACATTTTAGTCTCGTCATAGTCTTCGTTAACGAAATTAACACTAATTCAGTGTGGCCTTACCTTATGCTTTCTTTGATGGAGTTTCCCTTGTAGTTCTTGAGGTCGGTGTCCAGCTTCTCCAGTTTGAGCAGGGCTTTTTTCCTGGTGGATTCTGCCCAGGCTGTGTCGAGAGGAGGGGGTTCAACTGCCCCCTCCGGTACCGCATCTGGGACACCTTGCACATCCCTGTATTGACACCATTTTTAAGCATTTAGTACAACCTTTGTCAAAGTCATACATGTAATGTTTCCATGAGGAAACCATGTTAGATTGTAGAAAAGAAATGAACTTGAATTGCCTTGTGGCTTCAGTGAGTTTGCGATGGATTTCTTCGTAGACATCAACATTAAAGGTTCTTTGGACAAAGGACAGGGCCATCTTCAGTGCTTCCACTCGTAGCTGGGGGCAGTGGTCTGCAATAAACTGCAGCCTTTCGATCCTCATCAGCCCACTGTAGCTGGAGGCATACTGCTCTAGATCCTGTACAAAAATAAAAAATCAGCTCTCAAGAGTCCAACAAAAAGTTGTGGTATGTCATAACAGCACAATATTGATTATCAAACAATATGATAGATGCTCATTTGCCCATTTTTTATACTTAGATTAAATGAGCATTAGATAAGGGCAAAGGTAAAGCAGTGCTGTTTATTGTTGAAACTAATACTATTAAACTAAACTAAAACTATTAAAATAGTTTTGTTAATTGAAATAAAGCTGAAATAAAAGAATAAATATTAGATGAAAAACTTAAAAAACCTAAACTAAAATGAGATAAGTTATGGAAAGATATGGAAATATTACAAATAAAAACTAATACAAATTACAAAAGCACATAACAAAATGACTAAAATTTAAACTAACATTCACATTAAATTTGAAAATATAAAAAAAGCTAATTTAAAATATTAATAAATACTATAATATATAAATAATACTAAAATAATGATGAGGTAAATATTTAATGCCGCTAATAATTTAATGTCAAATGCTAATCTTTAGCAAATCTCAAAATGAAAATCTTTTGTGCTTTATAATACTGTGATGCCTGAATCCCCATGTTGCATTTAAAACTATGTATGTTTTTATTTTTAATATTAAATTATTTTAATATATATTTTTAGTATCGGCCTTTTACTGGTTATTGGCCAGAATCTCTATCAAAAAGTAAAAATTTTTGATTTAGAAAAGCCAACAAATTAACAAAGCAAGTACACAATTGTATACAACGATATATACCAATGTCGGGTTTTCCACAACATAGTTGGCGTCAGGCGCATTCTGCTGGTCTTCCTGAGGGTCAGCATCTATCTGCATGGGCTCTACAGACCCCTGTCAATACAGAACACTCTGTTTAACACTCTACACTGGAGGACAGTATTCAAGTGTACGCGACATAAACAAAAATGGACATTTTTAAGAAACCAATATCCTTACCACCAAAACCAATCTTGTGTAGAAAGAAAAACATAATACCACAACACTGAGTATCAGCTCCAAGGCTTTCAGATGGCCTCACATCCTATTTGCCTTCATTGTGTGGTTACCTCCAGTGAGTATGATGAGGAGCTTGAGCTGTACACATGGAATCCGGTAGTAAATTCCATGAACAGATCAGACACGCTTCTTTGACCGTTGAAGGACGAGGCTGATCTGACTGGCAAATTCAAGCTTTCCCTGATCCTGCCCTGAACCTGCCCTTCACCATCTTGCTGACCTGATTGAAAATTCTCCTGCAAGAAGGCGGATGCTTACAAAATCACACTGGGGTGGCAGCAGCTCCGAGACAAGAACATGTCAAAGTTGTTGAACTGAACACATAAATATAAACCAAACAAATGGAAGAATGTTTCTATTTTAGAAGTGAGGATTTAAAAATATTCATTAGATGAAAAAAGTGGCAGGGACAAGTAAACACCGGCTTCGTGCATGCAACATTTTGATGCAGGTTCGTAACCACAAAAGACTTTGAGAGGGAAACGTACCCACTCATTTTCATCTTACTAGTAAAATATTTTGGTTTTTCAATAACAGATTCTTTAAAATAGCATTATTCCACCCAGCTTGAATAAGCGGTTACATGGTTGACCACACAAACTTTCCTACACTAACCATTTTTAAGATTACATAACTGCTGGTCTGTCATTCTTGATTAACTACATTATAATGCACAGTTTCATAAATGACAGTCTAAAATAACTGAATGTGTCTACGGTTTCTAACATTGAAATACTGCTCAATAAAATATGAGCAGCTCCACAGTGATTAATCATTTTGGTCAAGTGAACTAGATCAGGCTTAAATAGAAATATTCAGTGCTCTATATTCATCTCTGCAAGCAAATAATGGAGGCTGTGTCTCAAAACCTAGTGAGCTGCCTACCTAGACAGTGTTTGAGCATCATATGAAGTTGTGGAACACCTGAATGATGACTAAAATGCGTTCTAGCCAGGCAATCTACTATGTTTTGAGAGACAGCCTGAATTTCAAGCACACTGGCTGATACAAAACAGACAGCTTGCTAACGAGATAGCTTGCTAAATACACTTAGCCGGCTAAAGAAAGTTCCTACACAAGTGTTTCACAAACAACCCCAAAAAAACCTACTGGACCACTTTGGGTGTAAACCAAAACAGCTCTATTGGATGTATTTATTGTCGAAAATACATCGGTCTCGCTCTTCGGGCGGATAGAGGCGCGCTGCCGCTAAACTTGAGAAGTGCCTGTCGCGTCCTGAGGGCCGCTCTGACTTACGAGCTCATGCTAGACGAGCTAACAGCTCTCAACGGCTGCGACGGGTGAGGAATTGAAACTGTAAACAGAGGCACTTCAACTCGGTATGCTTCTTCTACCTACTCTCGTGTTGTGGAAGATGGCGAAAAAGCATTTAAAGGCGCTAATTTACCTGAAAGTTAAAGACCTGCACGGGTAGTGGCATCTCCTCCTCCTCTGCAGAAACAGAGCACACAAACACATCCGGGGCATGAGAGTGCGTGTGGTCGACGTCTTGCAGCGCGGAGACGTCACTACCTTGACACTTGGCGAGTCACTGCACTCTCATGCGGGTGCTAAATTTTGCAGGTTGAAGGCTATAAGATGAGTCTTGGCTTGAAATGTCAAAAGAAACCACATTTACAAGTCCCATTCTAAATTGAGTGACTGATTTTAAATTGAGACACCGTCTGCTGTTTGGGCCTTAGTTTCTTAGTACATTTAAGTAAAATGATGTAAATTCTGTCGACCCTCTTTATTGCTTGGGTTCGTTTCTGACTTTTTATGTTTGAAAAGATTTGTTAAATTGTCCTATTTATCATATGTTCTCATATTTTATTTTTGTGATGTGTTTTTGAAAAGTCATAATTTTGGTCATAATATAATAATGTTATGACCTCTGCTATTTAAAATGGTTAAAATATGATGTACTATTTTTAGTACTAATTAGATTCTTAGTGAATTGTATTAAAACCAATTTTGGTCAGTTTGAACTGCAAACATAATAGTTATTAATTATACTAATAGTGTATGGAACCAACAACAACAATAATTTAAAAAAAAACATTAACAAAAAATGTATTATCTCTATGTAAGAGATATTGTACATTCAGCCGATCATCATCAAGGATCATATACCACACTGAAGGGTTTATTTTGAGATAATGACCATATGGCTGTACATCATCCTGCTGTTACTTATCAAACTAATAAAAGACCACGTAACAGCCACAACTATGCCTTAACAATGATGCCACACCCAGTGATTTATTTTTGAGCAAGGACTGAAACTGCCACTGAGATGATGTATGTGCCATTGGTTTAATTTTCATTCATTAGTTCAATAAAAAAAATGCCTTATGCTAACAACATATAAATGCTCAATTGGCACACATACACACATTTTTATCTCTTTAAAATTGAAATATTAGTCATTAAAAGGTAAAAGAACATTTCAAAGAATCATCTGAACACTTACAAGTGTTAAAACAATTTGTTAGCCCTGCACAAAAATCAGTAATGGCACATTCCATCATGTTTCAAAACATAAGTATAAAAAAAAAAAAAAAGACAAAACAACTTTTAAACAAGATGTACAATCTACACTAAATGGTTTCCATTGTAAGTTGCAGTATGTAGTCCATTAAACATTACAGCCAATTGTGATTACAGCTTATTTTATATAGTATTATTTTTGTTTATAGTATCTAATAGTATTTTATAGGCAAACAAATATTTCAGTGTGTAATATTTCTGCCATTGTTTAACAAATCATCACATACAGTAGTCACATTAAAACACAGGTACAGTATGAAATGTTTAACAGGCAATAAAAGCTGAAAGTAAAATACTTAAAAATGTATTTACCGTCACCCCTCAAGTGAGAGAATTGACTATGGCCACACATTTAGGTCGCAAAAGCTATTCACAATGTCTATTTACATAATCTTCTGACACATTCACAGATCCCAAAAGGGAAAATTATGTGCAGATAAAATATGAATAGCCACGATTTCCACACAATAAGCTCTGAAAAATGTAACATTTGCTGCAACAGAGCAAAGAACCTTACAGTTAGCTATGCTTGTTCTTCCATTAACTAATTATTCATCCTGATGCCATGGCCTTATGTCATTCTCTTCCAATACATTTTCACATTAAACCAACAATTTAAGGCAAAGCAAATTTGGCATATTTATGTTGATATATCTGTTACACCAGACACACCATGGAAATGCATGTCTCTGCAGCTTGTCACCTCACAAGTTGAATCGATCTGATGCTAACAGCAGAGCTGAAGAGCAAGAGCCTGCTGTTTACATGGTATATATCAATGAAGAAATGAGTTGCGGTCTTCCTCAAAATACAGTACACTTCTTGCCCCTTTTCTTTACAGGTGGAGGACATAAAACAGCACGGATGGCCTCATCAAACACGGTTTTTAAACCCCGCTGTGTAAGAGCAGAGCACTCCAGATATTTCACAGCACCTACAGAGCCAAAGATTTCAATAAGCCAACTATACATGTTACAATGCCCAACTGCAATGCCGAAACACTATCACAGCACACTGAAAAAGTTGGTAAAAAATTATTATTTTTTAAGTAAATAAAGACTATTTAAGTAAGTTTTACCAGAAAATATTATTTCAGTTTTTGTTCTTCAAAATGTTTAATTCATTGTGTTACTTGCCATTTCTTAGTACTTGTTTTTTTTTTTACTTTACTAGCAATTTTGGTTCAACATAGGTGTTTTTTTTACATTTACATTTAGTCATTTAGCAGATGCTTTTATCCAAAGCCAGCAACGTTCACTTGCAGAATGCAAGCTTCTAGAGGGCACATAACTCTGAAGTAATGAATTTAGGTAAAGGGGTGCAGAGCCAGTGGTGATTTTGTAGGCAAACATCAATGCCTTGAATTTTATGCGAGCAGCTATTGGTAGCCAGTGCAAATTGATGAACAGAGGTGGGACGTGCATTCTTTTCGGTTCATTAAAGATTAATCTTGCAGCCGCGTTCTGGATTAATTGTAAAGGTTTGATAGAACTGGCTGGAAGACCTGCCAAGAGGAAAAATACCATATACCCAGGAAAAAGTTCTTACCAATCTCTCTAGCCATAGCAAGACCTTGTGGATAAGTGATGGGAGCTAGTTTCTTATCCCGCAGGCGTTCAATCGTGTCTTTGTCATCTCGCAGATCAAGTTTAGTGCCCACAAGTATGATGGGGGTGTTTGGACAGTGATGGCGAACCTCAGGGTACCACTACAAAGAGAAATCTGGTTAACACAAGGCACCCTAATACAAAGGGATCCAAATGTCCAGGAAATATTTCTTATTTTTTTGGTGGATACTAACCTTTGCTCTTACATTCTCAAAGGAAGCGGGGCTCACCAGAGAGAAGCAAATTAAAAACACATCCTGTAGAAAGCAAAGGAGACTCTTTGTAAAAATCAATGTTATCAATTATTAATTTCTGATTACACTGCATTATATAATGCTGAGGTTGTCAGAAAACTGACGCATCATTTTTATAACTTTTTAATAACCTTTTAAAATCATTTATCATTTGAAGAAATTAATCTGTACGATTTATTAATGTATTGAAGGAAGCTCTTTATGCATACCAAGGCTGCATTTATTTGATCAAAAATACAGTAAAAACGGTCATATTGAGATATATTATCACAATTTAAAATAACCGTTTTTATTTTAATATATTTTAAAATGTCATTTATTCCTGTGATGGCAAAGCTGAATTTGTTTTGTGGAAAAAGTGATGAATTTTTCCAGAATTCTTTAATGAATAATAAGTTAAGAACAGCATTTATTTGAAATAGAAAAGTTTTGTAACATTATAAATGTCATTATTGTCATTGATCATTGCCGTTGATCAGTTTAATGTGTCCTTGCTGAATAAAAGTATTTATAAAATCTTACTGACCCCAAACCTTTGAATGGTAATGTATATTTTCATAATGAGGGACAGAGGAAAGGTAGGGGGATTCAAATAATTAAATTGGACAAACAAATAATTAAATTGGCTACATGCTCAAAACCCTGCCTAGTGCTCAAAAGAAATAAGATCCAACTCCAAACAAAGCTAGTCTCTGTACCAAAATTAGTTATTGGCTATAATTTACAAAGCAAAAACAGACTGTGCATAAGTCCAAAAATTATTATTAATGAAGTCTTAGTAATGAGTAAAATAAATATTCAGCATCTTGACTAAACAAAAACACTGTAAAAAGAAAAAGTTTTACCCCAAAAAAAATAAAAAATACTTGACTACTCCTAGCTAAAGTAGATGATTATTTATGATAACTCAGGATTACAGAGCCAGTAACAGAGATATTTACGTACTGTTTGGGGATAGGAGAGTGGTCTAAGGCGATCATAGTCCTCCTGTCCTGCTGTATCCCAGAGGCCTAAGTTAACAGGCTTGCCATCCACCATAACATTGGCAGAGTAGTTGTCAAATCTGAGGGTCACACAGATTTTTCAGAAGCTCATCCACAGAAGTAAACTGACAAACATGGGCAGCACAGACACTCAGGAATAATTCCCATTTCAAAGTATCAAACTGTACTCACACTGTGGGAATATACTCTCCTGGGAAGGCATTAGTGGTGTAGCTGATGAGCAGGCATGTCTTACCCACGGCACTGAAATACAAAAGATGCTAAGTGGTAAGTGTGACTGCAGTACTGAGGAGCAAGGACTGCACAAACACGGCACATCAAGGAAACAATTGTGGAAAGCAGGCAGAAAGGCCTGTAGGTAGTCATCCAGGCATTACATTCACTCTTGGGCTCGATGGCACACTGGCAGCCACTAATTCACAGTTCTGTTCTCAAATGAACTGCCCCACCGGATTAGGGGTGAATACAGGGTGACAGCTTCTTGTCACGAAAAACACACACTGCATTCACTTACATAGAAGTGGAGTAAAGAGGGTAAACAGGAAATGCAGTGGTAAAAAGTGATAAAGTGAAAAGTGATAAAAATTAGGAAAAGAAGTTTAAGTGTGAGGAAGTCTGATAATAAAATGGGTAAAAACAGAAAAAGCAAAGTAAAAACATCAAGTATGTTTGAGGGCTTAGAAGCCTGAATTTGTATTCCTGTCATTAGATCAGTAGGCTGTGAAATGCAGTTTCACATGTCAAATGACAGAAAGCGTGTATCATGAGACAGGGGCTAAACCTTACATGGTTACTAGATTAACTGCATCAACAAAACAGCTCATATTAATTCTCCAAACTATGAATTAAGCACATATATTTAACTAATACCACGACATAAGTCCAAATCACACCAAATACTAGAGATAATAAACTATTTGACCAATTTTTTTTGTTCTGTCGGTTCCTCTGTATCACAACTACAGTATTTACAATAACATTATTCATCATTTTTCAGAATTTACAGAAATGCTTGACATGTATTTTAAGCTAAAATAGTAGGCCTATTAGTATTATTATTGTTAAAATGGCATAGTACATATTACATTCTACTATTGTAGTCTAATAATTTGCCTATCTAGTGATTATTTACAGAAAAAAAAAATGATGTTGAATGGTGTTTATGTGACATTTAAATCTTAAAAATAACCAGTATGGGTAATGAAATGATTATATATTTTTAAAAAAATGAAAGTTGACATCTACCAAATACATACCAATTACAATGCAACTATTTGTTTCCATGTTCATCATCGTTGGGGAAAATATCGTATTAAGAATTTTAGATGGAATTAGGCCTGTTTTATTTTATGATGCTCTCTGATAAGATGGTCTCTGATAAGAAAAGGACGAATTCTGAAAAGGTTAACGAGAAAGTTCGGGCTCACAAGCTTTACGATCATTTCCAGCGGAGCTCTAGTGATGTAGGTTTGAAAACATTACTTCATTACATAGCCATTCCACCGTACACGAACACTGCACGAGATCCGTTTAATATGTGCATGGTTTACATGTTATCACTGCCACAATACTTTAAAGCGAAATTGATTCATTTAAAAAATGGAACACACATGCATAAATGCAAATTGTACGCCTAAGCATATATTTAACAAAACAGCTATCACCATGAGCCTATGCTCATTACAATCTAATTTAAAACCATAATGAAAACAACTAAGCTGTCTCGGAGAACGACACAGTAATATATGTTTAATAATTATAAACACCTCAATTCTGTCTCAGCAGATCTCAATCCCCACTCCCCCAGCGCCTTCTCGCAACAATTGTTTTTCCCTAAAAGAAACCTCCGCACAAAAATAAGCCATTTTAGCACTTGTTCTTCAACATCTTACCCGTCGCCGACAACAACACACTTAATGGCTTGCATTTGCAATGCACGAGTAGTATCCGACGAGCGAGGAATCTGAAGAAATAGCCTGAAACGTGATGTTTAAGGTGCCTGTGGGCTGGTACAATTGCTGTTCAGCTGCAGCAGCGGTCGGTGGCAGTCGGGGTATTTCACGATACTTACGAAAAAAGACGATCACAAGCTTCGTACGCTTTCGGAGATCTCGTGAGTCTGCCTGTCTCTCTCTCATTCTGTATCATAGTAGGATGCGCCTGTGAAAATATGATTCATTTCATCGATAAAGAAGTAAACATTGAACATTAAAAACATTAAAAATTAATTTAAAACACGTGTAAAAAAACCGGTTGACATATTAAAAAAAAAAAAACACAAGTAGTGGACGGAACTGAGATTTACACGATAGTGTTAAAAGAACAGCTGTCATTCCGGTGCCAGTTGGAATTACAGTTGTTGTATTGGGTGTGGATGGGTGGGGCAAAATGATACAGAAATCTCTGGAAAAATGCCATTAACATGACTACAAATGTTTTGGGAAAGGTCAACTCCCTGGAGCTGGATAAAATTAATAATCATTAAATTTTTTTTTATAAAAATACAACCCATTTTAACAATGAGATGTTATCCAATCAACATTTCTGCAAATTAGCATCTTAGAAATGATTTTATATTTATACAAATAAATTTAATAATTTAGTATTTACTGGGGATGTAGCTTATGGAATGAAAAGTGGGAATGATCCATGGGGCCGGCAGACAGATTTCAGCAGGATTTATGTTTGATCCAGTACGATTAATTCAAAGTATTTTATGTCAAAATATGTAATACACAAATCATGCATTAGGGGTAGTAAGTATTGTTAATATTTGAATCCATAGTCCTTGAGAGAAATACTTTTGATGTATGAAAACAGTACAGGAAACACAAGACGCTCACATATTCAAGAATTAATCATTTTATTGCTTGACCTGCCATTGGGACAATCTATACCAAAGGTTTACAACTTGAGCACATCCAATGAAATCAAACCGTACAGTCATAGAAAAAGAATAATAGAAAAATGGTCCTCTGACATTTTATAACTCTCTGTGCTGAGGGCTTAACAAACTAAAGAATGGGTGAACAGGAGCCTCTAAGTCCTGATGGCAAAGCTTATGAGCAAATATATCAATTCCTCTGTACATACTAGAACACAATTTTACTGAAAACTTCAGAAGAAAACACCATTGGCAGTCACAACCAGGGAATAAAAAGCAAGCTCCAGAAAAAAAAATTAAAATTAATAAGGTTGAGGGTGGTAATACAAACACATTTCCAGTGTATCAATGAATGTTCTTCAAGAAACAGGGCCTGAAGTTGTTAAATCATAATAAAAGTAAGCAGAAAATTGAATTAGCAGTGGAACCAATCACTAAATTTATTCCTAAAAGGGAGAGAATTACAATAAAGGTTAAATTGTGCATTTTACAGAAAATTGTGTCCATTCTGCACTGCCAAATAAAGTTAAATGAACAAAGTAATGCATGTATGAGCAATAGGTACACAATTTAGCAATTTTATGCCTATCAAAGGGTGTGACACAGTTTACATTAAGGACTATGTAAATAATTTCAACATGTTTATTTATTTTATTACATGCCCATCATAAGGCATAACCCACTGTGGTGAAAGGACAGTGGAACAGTTCATCGAAAGGCTATTTGAAACTTCACATCTCATTAAGGGAGCAAATTGTGTTTTTAAAGCTACAGCACCAAGATTTGACTGATTCTGAAATTATAATCCAGTCTATGTGAATGAGCATCTTTTCCCACACAACTGCAGTGACAATGCTCTTAAATCAAGTCAGAGAGTAAAAAGAAAACAATTCTTTCATGTGGTCAGTAGGACAAAGTCAAATATTGAAGATAACAACACAAAATATAGGTCAGTTCACTTGCATCGTTCTTTAATTAACATAGCAATTTTGGGACAGTTCAGTTAAATACACTCTTAATTACTGGAGCTTTAAGTCTAAATAAATTACACTGCTAAGGGTATCCGGATATACCGATGAAAAACAAAACAAAACTGTAGTTTACAATTAATACAGATAACAAGCTGACACAATATTTATGAATAGAATTGGGAGGGGAAAACTACAAGGAAATGTCTGTTGGCTATGAAGTATGATAGTAAAGAAATCAGGCACTTTTCAAAAGAGTTTGCAGTATAAAGGAGCTGGATATCTGTATAACCACATAACACAAGATGTATGGGAAACAAAAATACAGATTTAAAATTCACATCAACTGTTTTCAAATAATACAAGAATATCTCTGTGTGACAATTAAAATCTACCTTCAGCAACTGTTAACACTATTGTACCACCCAGTAAAATCGTACAACACAACTCAGAGAACCCTAAGAACAATATCTGATAATAGAATAAGGTGGTGGCAGTATTGGATCGCAAATCTATTCCAAACATTTGATGGATCCCAACCCTCATGGCATACAGACACCATGAACCCAACACAAGCGGTAAATACTGTCCCTGTTTTAAGACTTTGATTTAACTAAGGAGAATAATCTAAATCCCAATCAAAAAAAGGACACTGATCATTTGAAAACTATTTTTCTATGCCCTGCCCTGGTTATTAACCAAATTATTTTAGTTTCAAATGAAAAAAAAAGAAAGAAAGAAAAAGTGGGAAAAAAAGACATTTGGGATTTTAAAGCAGTTCACATACACTCTCATGGAGAAAGAAAACCTAATGGGATCTCAGTTGGCCAAAGAGGTCACCAAGTAGTCACTTCCTGTCAAGGAGGATCCTCACATACTCTGTCAGATTTCATTAACCATTACATTTCTGTAACTCTTTTTAACAATTAAACAAAACAAACAAATGTAACTTTTTTTCTGAACTTGTATCTGCCATAAGCACAATGTTGAATAAAAGATAAGATCACCTTTTTGTGGGGGAAACAAACAAATAAAAGCATTTGCAGCAGGTAATAGGACCGCTTTAACTTCAGTACCCCCAAGAAAACAACATAACACACATGGATTTATGCCTTTGGCTTCCCTAAACTCAAATGCTTGAAATGAACGAGGGAAAACAGAATCTGAAACTCGATGCCTCAATTAAGATCATCATATACTGAATAGACAGACTACATGACTGTTAACCCTGCCACTGATTTCCTTCCATTCAAAACACTGTTATACAGAAACGCGAAGCAATTTTGGAGGAAAGAGACAATCCCGACAGACCTTGTTAGTTCAACATCTGTTCACATGACAGGCATCTGTGGCACAAAGATTGGCTCGTTTCTCAGGCAAAAATAACAACCAGCCTTATGGTAAATCTACGATGGATAAGAACATGACAGGGTACGGCACAAATCGAAAAAAACAGATAAGAGAGAGAGAGAACACTGAAGTGAATGGGCACCTGGGTGTTGGAAAATGCATAAAGAAAAGTAAGAAAATAAAGCGGATTTTCATTGGTGGACCCTGCAATAGAGGAAAGAGCCTAGTGCGCCTCAGACCGACAGAGATACAAAGCTGTTGTACTGCTGTATGTTTCGCTTCAGGATATCTGAGCAGGGGCCGAGCACGCGTTCGAACCGGGGACGGTCAAGTTTTACGCACTTCAGCGGGCCACGAGCAACCACGGTGGCGGCACGAGGCCGGTTCATGAGCAGAGCAATCTCACCTGTTGAAACACATATGGAGGAAAATCAGAAAAGAGCCATAGAGAAACAAACAAACACGTACATGGAATCAATATGTAATTACATTAGCAAAGGGATTTCTGGAATATGTTTAAATATATGCGGCACGAGCAGTTTTCCAGAGAGTAAAGAAAATCGCATTTACCGAAGTAGTCAGATGGTGCTAGTCTTCCAACCTCTACAAATTCCTCATTCTCCGACCGCCGCTGCAGGACTGCTGCCGAACCCTGAGGACACAAGTCTAAATCAATACGTCTGTTCTTCCATGACGCCTCTCTGAGGTTTTAGGGCTACACTTTCTACAACAATTTCATCATTATTTACATTTTTGGTGAAGTATACAAAACTATATGACTCTAATTAACACAAAAAGTTGTTGGAGAGACAGTGTAAAAAATTAATAGATTTAACAAGGAAAGCTACCTCAAGGATAATGAAAAATTCATCTCCTGGTTGACCCTGCACAACAATCTTCTGGCCATCTTCAAACTGGACTGTCTCGAGGGCATCAGCAACTGTCAACCGTTCCCATTTATCCAGAGACTCTACTCACAGAATGTTAGCATGTTATCATTACATATAAATGTCTGTTAGCTTTTTTGTTATATATACATAAAAGGAAATTCATCAAACTCACCCAAAATCGAGACTTTGCTAAGGAATTCCTCATACATTTTTCTCTTTCTCAGAGTACTTCCCTGACCATGGATAGAAAACAAGATTAAGCAGGAGAGGAGAAAAAAAAAATCACCCCCAAAAAATTATATATATTAATCCAAAATAAAAGTTTTTGTTTACATAATATGTGTGTTTACATACAGTGTGTGTGTACTGTGTATATTTATTATGTATATATAAATACACACATGCATGTGCATAATTCAGAAAAATATGTTATATTTGTATATTAAATATATTTATATATAATATAAATATATTTATGTTGTTTATTTGTCTATCTATGTCTAATATGCTTTTAGACAAACCATTTGCCAATCCATTAATCAACACCATTGCTGAGTCCTTTAAAGTGTAGATTCCCATTGGCACTCCCAGAAATGTGGTTTGAAACAGCCCTCGGTTTGCTACGTCACAAACCAATAACCAATCACGTCAAGGGATCGATTCCTATCACAAGCATGCAAAATATAGCAATACCAGCACAAAACCAAAAATAAATTAGACCAAAAAACCCATGAGGGATAAGTTTTAAGGGATAAAATATTTGACTACGGGGGACTTTAAAGAATGAGATACAAAAGCAAATACAGATTTCTGGTGGGGGAAAAAAAGTTACCTTTCTGACATAAGATGCTGCATCTTCCTCAGTGTAGACCTCTGCACTGATGGCACCGCGGCGCCGTCTGCCCTTAACCACAGGGTTCATGGGAGGAGAAACCTCATCTTCACGGGAGTCTGAACGAGAGCTTGACTTCTGCTGGCTGACGAATTGTTTAGCTTCCTCCTGATACACATAAACACCAATTACGGCACTGAAGCTTACTTTTCAAGGATAAAGAATATTTGTAAAGAAAACCAAGCCTAAGAGCATGCAGTTTCCCTTGAAAAATGACTGACCTTCTCAAGCCTCTCGAAGTACTCGCTGAGGAAAGCCATGGGCCTTTCAGGCCTGTTAGTGCACAGCTGCACAATGCAGTCCTTCAGCAGCTGCTGGACGTTGTGCTTCTGCACATAGCGCTCACATTCCCGCAAGCTCCTCTCTTCTTCACTGCTCGTACTGCTGGACGCCATGGTGACCTGCTGACTCCACACATGCAATTCACATCAGCTCATGAAACCCAACGAATCTGGAGCAAATCCAGTCCTTCTTCATCAAAAATGAGACAAAAACATCATTAGACCAACTATTTGAATTGAAATGTGAAGATCTGATGTTCAACATGAAATGGAATATTGAGGGCGGGGCCATATCTAGCTAGCAGTAGACTGACAGTTGAAAGCGAGCGGATGTTCTGTTCATGCGTCAAACTGACGTCATCAGAGAAGGAACATCATTCCAGAGGAGAAGCAAATCCTCATATGTTGACTAAAGAAGACATACCTGTGGATAAACTTGCACTTAGATTAACTGTTCAGCACAAGACTAGTGCATAGGGTAAATAGGGTCAACTTTGATTACATGTGGACTTTAAATTAAAAAATAAACTGAGATACCACAAAATGTTTTGTACTGTTTTTAATGTTTCAGACCAAACTTATGACAAACATTAAATTAGGCAATACATTTGTTTCAGGTTTGAGACAGAAAACATACTCTATTATATTTACACTTCAGTGGCTTCTTAAAAAATATTTCTTAAGAAAGAAAAATAACACACACAGACACATTTATGATCACATGCATGTTTTTGTGGTTAAAATCACTTCCTAAATTTCTTTCAATCTTACAATGACAGTATATAAATATGTGAAATGAAATCGCTACCATGTTTTTCAGTGTTACAAGGTTCGAACACATTTTGACCAATTAACTTTTCCAGTCCATCTGCCATTACAGGGTATGGACTAAAAATAATTTTGAAAAGAGTTTTCCAACTGATAAAATTCTAACTTTACTAAATACATAGAAATGTTTACATTATACAAATATCACTTCTATTACTTGTCCTGGCCTAACATTTTTTTTTTAAGTAAATTAAATTAAACGTTATACTCCCAGGTCTTCCATGACTGTGGGAACCTTCACGTGACCTCATATCGTAAAGAAAACAAAGTACCATAAAAAGTGATTAAAAAACGGACATACTGCTTGCAAACCAATGTGTTGTCAAATTGCAACAAGTTCAACAGCTAGCATGGCTCCTATATTGCGAGCAAGTTACATATCTACTAAATCAGTCAGTGACTAAGCTAATGAGCATAGAAAATTCTCTCAAGTAACATTATTTTTTTTAAGCAGAGTTGCATTTTGACATGCATTCTGTGGCCCCTAGTCCCTGTCGGGGCCCCTGAGCTCATAAACTTCGTAGGTCGCATCCCCACAGGCATTTCTCAATTCAACGCTAATCGGTCATGTGAACGTAACATTATTTTAGAGCAGAAAACGCGTGACATTGTAAACACACGCGATTTAACACGTGTTTAAACGTTAAGCAGCGTGATCCTGCAGCCTTTTCCAGCTCTGTGTTTTCTGTAACCAGTTTTGTCAAGCAGCAAAATACGCCATCTTGCAAGCTACATTATCACAACAACGGAACATTACACTAACCTCTCTAAGAGCCTGTCAGCTCACGCATCGATATCAACAAATGTTACAGCGAAGACTTCTGCTATTAAGTATTCATACCTGAGTCGCTTAGATGAGTTTGTGTACGTGTTTTACTCCGTTTACACTGGCTTTCTCACAGTCCTCGGATGGATGGATGCCTCACCGGAAAAGGTTATGACCAATCACAAACAACGATTGACGTCAATGCGCCTCGATCTGGGAAGCCCGTTACTCCTGACAACCTTAAAGGGCAAGGGCTTGTTTTTGTATTGAGAGAAGATCGAGGTTATCAGACAAGCTAGTTTATTACATTCTGCTTCACATGCGCAATGTATTTAAATCATATTTTACAGTCCTCCTGCCATGACATTGAAATACCAAAGAACAGTATTGTTTGATTTGGATCTAATGACAGCTGAAAAGGTTAATGGTTAGGGTTAAAGGGTAAACCCAAGCATAGTGTTGTCCTTATTCAATCATGGTCATAACCACCACTGAAATTGCATTCTTTACTTCAACAAAACTAATACTTCACCAACATATCTCTGATAATGGAACCTGTTATGAAATGCAACAGTGAACAGTTAAAAATATACATGTATTTATTTACCAGATACTTCTATCCATATTGACTTACAAAGGAGAATATTACAAGCAAAAATAATTATTAAAAAATAAAACACAATACAAGAAGTGGAGTGTAATTTAAAGGGATAGTTCACCCAAAAATGAAAATACTGTCATAATTTACTTTCCCTAATGTTGTTCCAATCCTGCATGACTTTCTTTCTTCTGTGAAACACAAAAGAACGTTGAAGAATATTGGTAACCAAACAGCGTTGGGGACAACTGACTTCTATTGTTTGGGATACAAAAAAAATCTCAAGATATCTTCTTGTATGTTCCACGGAAGAAAGAAGATAATACAGCTTTGGAACAACATTAAGGTGAGTAAACGATGACAGAATTTTCATTTTTGAGGGAACTATCCATTTAAGTGTCAAAAATAATTTATATATTTTGTTTAAATATAACCCTTTATCATAAGACTGTACAGGTCAGGTGCCTATATCAGAATATAAAGACACACCCTCTCTTATCTCCTCCCTGCTGCCTCTGCAGCCTTTCCTACAACTGCTCAACCTCATTCGTGTCGACTGTCCAGAGTCCACGAACATAGTCTTCCAAAAGCTCTCCAGCACAAGGATATCGGATATATTACAATCTAACAAAAGAGAGGAAGAGATAAAGGTGAGGGCATAGTTAATTGTCCATAGTCAGGTAGGGTTGTTGTTTGCTGTACAAATCTTCAATCACTGCTCAGTCATTCCAATGTACTGTAACTTAACTATATTCTAGTAAGAATAGGAAAGAGAAGAATGGCTCTGTTTTAGTAACACTGTGTACACTTTTAAAGAACATGTTTGTAAAATTTGTTTAATTCACTTGTAATTATGGAGATGTTGTGTTTTGGTAATGATTCCATATCTTGGAAAACGTGACTGTAGTAATAATGTATCATGTGAATGAAAATGTTGAAAATAACTAGGCTCACCAAGGAGAAATTATAACATTTAGAAAATTGACAATCAAGAAGATTTGGGTGGAGAACTCCAAGCTAACAACACTCTGTCTTCCTTTTTTAGTCACATTCATTTTCATGATTGCATACGCTAACATCTGCAGTGCATTCCAGGGTCTCCCTGTTGAAACATGTCCCTCTATAGCTTTGGATTGGAGCCTCTGTCCTGTCATGCCTGGAACAAAGACCGGACACGTAAGAGCAAACTAGTTGAGCTACATTTCAATATAAATTACATCCCTTCAAGCTCCTAATGTTGCTGCCTGCAGTTCCATTTTCATCCATTATAATCTACTCAGAGGAATATCAGATTGTCTTTAGGAGAAAAGCTGCACTTCTTCAAATGTTTGCTATGAACTAGTTGTAATATTGCTGCTTTATACATGGGTTTTTGTTTACCAGAAATTCCAATTGAACAGTTTTTCAGGTTTATTTTATGTGCATAAAACTTTATTATAATAATATTATTTAATTATTATTATCTTTTTTTTTTAGAAATCGCAATAAGCCCCAACAGCAACGTTGTGCACATTTACCAAAAGCAAGGAAAGGAATGGACTAAGATTCATGAACTGACAGAACACAGTGGGCGAATCACAGGTAAGACAAAAGAGAATAGCTGCCACATTAGTCATTAACCCACCGATACTGTGAGACTGACCCATAAAACAAATATTATCTCAGTGCACCAATGAAAGTCATTAACTAAACACTGTAAACTGTGCAGGTCTGCATTTGAGTTATACTACCTGGAATTTAGTCACAATGAAAGAAGTAGTGACAGACATTTTCTTCTGTATTGTGACATACATCCGAACGAAACGGGTTCAATCCACTATCATTGATTGGATGGAGGCAGATCTGAATGCAAGCTTGCAAGCTTTTTTCTTTTCTTTTTCTTCTCAATAACATTCAGATATCAAAATTGAATAAAACGCCAACAACAAAAACAACTAGCTAGGTTAGCTGATTACCCAAAGAGTCCATAGATATTGGCATCAGTTCTTACTGCTGTAAACACTTTCTCTGACAAACGGATGCATTGAGACCTGTTTTCTGGTTTGGTCGTGTGACGTTCAACATGTACCTCATTCTATAGCACTGGATTAAAATATTTAAAATACATATAGTTTCCAATAATAAATTAACATCTCTAACTATTGATTTCATTTTTAGGGATTGATTGGGCCCCAGAGTCCAACCGTATAGTGACATGTGCCTCAGATAGGAATGCCTATGTATGGACGCTTAAGGATGGGGTTTGGAAGCCGACGTTGGTGCTGGTTCGCATTAATCGAGCTGCCACATGTGTCAAGTGGTCACCTCTTGAGAACAAGTTTGCTCTTGGAAGTGGGGCCAAACTTATTTCAGTGTGCTACTTCGAAAAAGAAAATGACTGGTGAGACTTGCTTTTATAAGACCTTTTAACCTGAGTTTTGATTTCTCTACTGACTGAGAGACACTTTACATTACTAATCGTATGTATTATCTCTTACATAGCCACATCTCTTGTGCAATCTCTCTTGATTGACTCTATAGGTGGCTGAGTAAGCATATCAAGAAACCCATTAACTCCACCGTTCTAAGTCTAGACTGGCATCCCAACAACATACTGCTGGCAGCCGGCTCTGCTGACCTCCACTGCAGGTTTGAATATTCAGACTATTGCTGCACCATGTTGCTTTTCAAACCATTTTGTTGGTAACAGGTCTTTTTTACTGGCATAGAATTTTTTCTACATATATCAAGGACATTGAGGACAAGCCTGGGCCAACACCCTGGGGATCCAAAATGCCCTTTGGAGAGGTGCTTCTGGAGTATAAAGAGTGCGGTGGCTGGGTGCACAGTGTCTGTTTCTCTCCATCTGGTGATGCTCTGGCCTGGGTTAGCCACAACAGCGCCATCAGTGTAGCAAATGCCACACAGGGAAAAGAGTAATACCAACATTTACAAATTACAATTAGCTTTATAGATCTCCATTTCTTTATATAACACAGAAAGTAATAGAAAATGATTTGCAAATAATTTGATATATCCTTGATTTCCATGCATCCATAAAAACCACTAGAGTTTGCTGCCTGAAATTAATAATATGCACAGTATGACCTTTACCAGTCACTTTTAGACTGCCTACATTATGGAATTTTGTGCATTGCAGGGTTACTCAGCTGACAACAGGACATCTTCCATTGCTGAGCATGCTGTATGTCAGTGAGACTGAGATTGTAGCTGCGGTAAGGAATTTTCCATTTCTTATAGATCCATACTGATATATAAAATTCTGTGTCTCCATGGCTTATCAGCCTATTTATACATGCAAATAAACCTTCAAGGGTGTAAGAAGAAGCACTGTTGTGAAATACACTTTCAAATGTTTTCAATGAGTTCAAACTTTATATTATTATTAACAAACGCAACATATATATGCACTTGTTGCCTTGCTGCCCTATCAACAGCATAACAGTTTAATGATCTACCAAAGAATATTGAGAGCTTTGGTGATAACTGAGTGAACATTACTAATTTTTCACTAGGAATGACAAAAAGTGGAAAAAGCTGGTCAAAAACATACATTTACACACAAACTGACCACCAACCACAACTTTCAGATGGCATATTTCTTTTTAATCCAACTGTCATGGAATCAAACACACATATAATACATGTAGGGTTGCAAAAAGGCGGAAACTTTATGAAACTTTCCAGGATTTTTGGAAATTTTCTGGGATTTTTTGGAAACTTTTGTGAATTTTTGGAAACTTGAAAATTTTACCAGAATTTTCCCACCCCTTTGCAAGCCTAAATACATGAAGGTGTCTCAGTAGACAGGATGTGACATGATCATTGGATTCAGGCGTGCCATAGTGCATTCCTACCTCTGTTTAATATTAATAATACCTTTTTATGCATATGTCTGTGGTGGGGATTTTAGGGCCACGACTGTTGTCCTTATCAGTTCTCATACAAGGGTCCTGGATGCTTGGAGTTTGTGAAGAAAGTGGACATTCCCAAGCAGAGCTCCAAGGGCAACATGTCTGCCATGCAGCATTTCCGTAATCTGGACAAAAAAGCGACTACTGAGGAGGAAGAAACCGGGTTGGGCAGTCTGCACCAGAACAGCATCACGTAATATAAATAAAAGGCTTGACGTCTGCAAGCACAGTCTATTTTAGCACCTTTTGCATTTTGCTCACATTTAAGAGAAATTGCATTGCAGTTTGCTAAGACTTTGTTTCTACTATAGTCAGCTATGTATTCTGGAAGGGCCGAAAGCCAAGGTGGAGAAATTCAGCAGTGTGGGCTTAGATGGTGCCATGGTGGTCTGGGATTTCAAGGTATTTCATTGTCATTAAACAATATTTTGATATTACTGTTTAACACTAGATTGTCTAAGCAGTCACTGAATGACTTATAAAAGTATGAAATGTTTTCTACTTAAATTTTATCTTTAGCACTGAAACTCCATGGGATCTGAAAAGAGCAGAAGACAATAATAATCCAGGACCATCTTTTTAAGTTTGTTTGTTTTCTCAGACACTTTTTTTTACCCTTCAGTACAAAAGTTATACTTTAAAGTAATTAAAGCCTATTGATTTTATTATGATGTAC